AAAGGGCAACATACTGTGAGAAAAAAAGCTACCTCAGACTTGCATTTTTGAACAGGATGATTAAAAACTTCATTCCAATGGACGTCACAAAGGAAATCACAGAATGAGTCTCAATCTGCTTGTTGAGAACAAAGATATCCTGTTGATAGGAGGTTCTTCCCTGGTGTAGGAGCAGAAGGAGATGTTTACAAACACTACCACATGATCAGAGTTACCAAAAGGGCAGAGCTGCTCAGTACGATAAAAGTCAAGGATAGAAGTAAAAAATGTTGGAATTTTTGGGGTGTTAGTGAGCCAGCCAAAATGAGCTGACTCGTTTTATAATTCACCGATAGAAGGGTTAACCAATCAGAAGGTTCAAAATATTCAATGCGACGTGTATAAAGGCGGCCATGTTTTTTTTTGAATATTCACTGACAGCCAGCCTTTGATATCGAAGACTAAAACTTACAAAACAGCTGCTGGTGGTATTGGTGATAGAGCAGATTCAGTAGAGAGTCTGACTCGTGAGTATTAATCTTTAATGTTGTTTCATTGAACAGATTACGTACTGCGCTCTATTCTATATTCATAGACTATGGTGAACATGGTTAACAAAAAAGAGATTGAAGAGAGAATCATGGCTCTCAGGGTTACTGAGGAAATGTGTGGGTAAATCAACCACTTGCATGAGAGATTGAATGATTGAGATATTAACGTTTTTGGATACCAGCAAGATCAGTGATAGAGTCTTTAAGCCACCTGGTATGGCAGGTATTGAAGTCACTGATCATGAATATGTTTTCAAATAGGTGTAGAGAGATGACCTTGTTTATATTATCAAAAATACTGTCTAAGATGGAACCAGAAGGGAGTTCTACATGTGAGAAATGTGAAAAGAAGAAACTGTTACTATAGAATTTACAGCTACATCTAGCCAGCTCAACTGCAAATTGATGAGATCTTGATGCCAGTCGAGGGCTGCATTTAAATTCAAAATCTCTAGGTACCATAGTGAAGAGCTCATTCAAAAAATTATCTTGAAAGTATTTATAGAAAAAACATAGAAAGGCAACCTTATGGTAGTGGTAAAGTGACTTGAGCCGAGCTGCCAGAGCCGGACCAATAATATTGCTGATTCTTTGTTTAGTTCTAATATGTATGCAAAAACATAAGACACACCCAAAAGGATTTTATGAAATATTCTAAGAATTTCACATATTTTTATAATCGGCAGGCAGTGACTCAGCATCTTGTAGGTCATCTTATAAATTATAGGACATAGATCCATCTTAAAATCATATTATTTTTCATATGAACCCATAACAAAAAACACAGTGGACACAATCCCAGGGAAAAAAATCCTAGTGGGTTATTTTGATGGGCCTGGTTTGACTCCTGATTTTTTTGGTTAGTAAAATATATATATATATATATATATATATATATATATATTTTTTTTTAATCAGTAGCACTCCAAGCAAGGCAGTAACACCACTAAAACACAAGGGTGGGGAAGAATTAGGAACAGAAACAATAATGATGAGCAGAAAGAGAAAAGAGTTATCAGGATGGCAGAAGATAGCAATTGACATTGCATTTAAAATTTTGGTAGATTAAAGTTGGCTGGAAAACATAGAGCTGGAAGGGAGTTCAACAAGCATAGAATTTACAGTTACATCTAGCCAGCTCAACTGTAAATTGACGAGACCTCGATGTTTGTCTAGTGCTGCGCTTAAATTCAAAACGTTTCGGTAGCATGGCAAAGAGCTCCTCTGAGCAATTTCTATGAAAGTGTTTATAGAAAAGACATAGAAAGGAAATCTTACAGTAGTGGCAAAGTGACTGGAGCTGATCTGCCAGAGCAGGACCAATAATATTGCTGATTCTTTGGATCTTATCAAGGAATTCAAGATAGCAGGGGTACCGGACCTTATGTGGTGGTGATATTCTAAGCATGTTTAAAAAAGAAGAAAAATAATTAAAAAAACATGTTTTATGCTAACAGTTTATTTTCTCACACTTCTCGCATGTTGAACTCTTTTCCAGTGACGTTTGATCTTCATAAATTTAAATGCAGTGTAAATCATTTTCTGTTTTCTTAACTTTTATTTGTTTATCCTTCCCACACCTTAATAATGTTTTTTTTTTCTCATATTCCCTCAAACTCAGTAACCCCTTGCATCTTAATGGCTTTATTGCCTTGCTTGGGGTGAAATGATTAAAAAAAAGAAAAAATGGTTAACAAAAAAGTTTACATTACGATAAATTTGTAATATCAAAATACCAAAAAAATAAATACACAAAAAAGTATCTTAACTGGTTTATTGTTCTTCATTCATCAGAGCTCAACCGAGGACAAGAAATGGGCGCAGCAACTAAAATATAAACTGAATCCAGATATTATATAACAAATATGCAACAACTAAAGGCTAATTGCATTTAAGACAAACAACCTCTCCCTCAGTGATGGCTGGTAGGACTTAATATAAATAGATTCCAGCACTTTCATACGAAATTCCAACTTTGTCTTGCTCAGCAGCAAAAAAATTTCTTGGTTAATAATTTTTTAATTATAGTCATGCAATGTGTACCGAATTGAATGTTTATTGAATTCTGATTTGGTTAACTAAAATTTTAATTTAAATTAAATATTTTTAAATTAAATGTAATTTTAAATCAAATTCAGATTAATAATAGCAAGAAAAAATGACATGTAAAAAAATGTAGAAAAAAAATAACAAAGAAAAACAGGTTAACTAAAAAATTACATTACAATAAATTAGTAATAACAAAATGCCAAACATAATGAAAAAGTGTTACCGAATGCAGCAGCTGGGCCAGGAATTTGTTTGAGTAACTTTTGGGTATGGTATTCTGACAGTGGAATGCCTTAGTCTAAGACTAAAATGGTACAAATTCGGCAGAGGGTACCAGGAACTTTGAAGTGTCGATATGCATTCCACACACAGATCCAATAGGCAGGTTAAGGTTGCACATGGTGGGACGTTAAGCCAATGAGTGGGCATGCATTTGCCTGAAGTTCTTCCTCGCACTGCTGCCTAGACTTCATGCTACCAAGTCTTCCCCCGCCCCGTATAATAAAATGAATAATAAGAAGAAACCATCTTTCATTGCTTCAGTCTACGAAGTGGCAGTGGGTCCAAGGGGCTGAAGCCAGTGATGAGGGGAAATGCAGCAGAAACATTATTGTAATGTGTGTATCGCCACATAAATACGTTTTACAAACATGACACCACATCCACAGATGATCGGTAAAGGCGAGGGCCTATTTATTTTTTGTCCCAATATGTGCATTTTACCAACTCTTAGAATGGAACATTTTTACCAAATTTGTTCAGATTAGTCGATTTATCATACCTCAGTCATCAGAACTCAATCAAAGACCAGAAATGTTCACAGGAACTGAAATAAACAGCAAAGACTAGATATTATATAATAAATATGCAACAATTAAAGGCTAATTATATTTAGGCCTTATAAAAACTCTTTCTGTTTACAGAGTGATGGCTGGTAGGACTTAATATAAATAGGTTCCAGCACTTTCATATGAAATTTCTAGTTAGCCTCTCTCAGTACCAAGTGAATTTCTTGTTTATAATACTGTGCACAGCAATGTTTAGTAAATTTTAAATTATACTAACGCACCTTGAGAATATTAGTTGGTAGATGCTGATTGATCCTTCCAAACTTTGGCCAGTTCTACCTACATGGTCAGTGTGACACTGACATATGAATTTGGTAAATTTCTGGCCAGAAAACAAGATAATACATGCTTTGCCAAACATTTTTTCACACCTAAAGAACGGAAAAAAATATGGTACTCACATTTTACTTTTAATCATTTCACTCCAAGCAAGGCAGTAAAGCCACTACTGTGCAAAGGATTGTCAAATGTAAAAGAATCTGAGAAAAAATATCATTGGTGAGAGAGAACAATAAAAGAAAATAATTCAAGGAAAAAGGACATGGTGATTGATGTTCCATTAAATTTTTTGAATATCATAGCTGAGAGGAAAAGCAAGAAGAGAGTTCTACAAGCAAAGTGTGTAACAGAAGAAACTTTTAGCTTAGAAATTATGGCTATAATTAACAATTTAAACAGTAAAATAATGAGACCTAACTGCTAATCTAGTACTTAAATTCCTGAGGTTGAGGTATCAGACTCTCAAGGCAACTACCAGGAAAATATTAAAGAAAAGGCATATAGAAAATACTTTATTGTGGTCTGAAAGTAATATATATATATATATATATATATATATATATATATACAGTGGTGGCATCCTACTAGTTTGCACCAGTTCACACGGACAAATTCTTAAAACTACAAAAGCTTAGCCAACCAGTTGTTAGATTATTCGAAAATAATCTTATATATTAATAGCCATCTAGGTAAAATGTTAGTTATTATTATGCTCTCGCATGACTAGTTAAAATCTAATAGACAGATGCCCCCCTACTACAACAATAAGCAGCAGTCAGCGGGGAAGAAAAACAAAATGAAAAAGTAAAAGAAAAACATAGATAACGGTAGGTGTGTAGAGAAACAAAGCAAAAGAAAAAGAGAGTTGATAAAAACGGTTAAGCCAAATAAATGAAAAGTCACTATTTACATTGTTCGGACCATCATTCTCATTTTTGTCGCCATATTTATCACAATGTTTCGGCCATTGTACATTCCGGCCTTCTTCAGCTGGTTGGAATGTCGAACTGAACCCTTTATTTCACTCGCTGGGGGAAACTGTTCTAGTTCCATGTGACATGTTTAATGGATGTCAGTTATCAGTTATTTCCTGTTACTTCACCTCTCCAAGGTCTCCACAGCCTTAACTGGGTATTGAACTCACATGAAAAGTCAGACGGTTACAAATTTAAAAAAATCACATTCCCTTTAATCACACTCCCTTTAATGAAGCTTGGAAATTGCTGACTATTCGGTGACCTCTTTCTTTCTTTCTTTCTTTCTTTCTTTCTTTCTTTATCTATCTATCTATCAGGATCTTTCTTTTTTGTTTCTTTATATATCTATCTATCTTTCATGATCTTTCTTTCTTTCTTTCCTTATCTATCTATCTATCTATCTATTTATCACGATCTTTCTTTCTTTCCTTATCTATCTATCTATCTATCTATCTATCACGATTTTTCTTTCTTTCTTTCTTCCCTTCTTTCCTTATCTATCTATCTAATGATCTTTCTTTCTTTCCTTATCTAGCTATCATGATCTTTCTTTCTTTTTTTATCTTTCTTTCTTCTTTACCTATCTATCTATCAATCAATCATGATCTTTTTTTCTTTCTTTCTTTCCTTATGTATCTATCTATCATGATCTTTCCTTCTTTTTTCTTTCTTTCTTTCTTCCCTTCTTTCTTTCTTTCTTTATCTATCTATCTATCTATCAGGATCTTTCTTTCTTCATCTATCTATCTATCATGATCTTTTTTTCTTTCTTTCCTTATCTATCTATCTATCTATCTATCTATCTATCTATCTATCTATCTATCTATCAGGATCTTCCTTTCTTTCTTTCTTTCTTTCTTTCTTTCTTTCTTTCTTTATCTATCTATCTATCTATCTATCTATCTATCTATCTATCAGGATCTTTCTTTCTTTCCTTATCTATCTATCTATCACGATCTTTCTTTCTTTCTTTCTTTCTTTCCCTATCTATCTATCATGATCTTTCTTTCTTTTTTCTTTCTTTCTTTATCTATCTATCCATCAATCATGATCTTTCTTTCTTTCCTTATCTATCTATCTATCTATCTATCTATCTATCTATCTATCTATCTATCTATCATGATCATTCTTTCTTTTTTCTTTTTTTCTTTCTTTCTCTATCTATCTATCTATCATGATATTTCTTTCATTCTTTCTTTCTTTCTTTATCTACCTATCTATCACAATATTTCTTTCTTTCTTTCTTTATCTATCTATCATGATCTTTCTTTCTTTCTTTCCTTATCTATCTATCACAATCTTTCTTTCTTTCTTTCTCTATCTATCTATCTATCTATCTATCTCTCTCTCTATCTATCTATCTATCTATCATGATCTTTCTTTCTTTCATGATTTACACATTTTCATTTTTATTGAAGAATTGTCCTATTAATTTAAACACAAAAATGCTTTATTAAGAATTCACACCAAATTCTATAGTTCACATTGAAAAGAACGTAAACAGAATAGGATCCTAAAGATTACTTCCCTTTATAGAACTGGTTCCTAGAAATTTGGGATGTTATTATATATATATATATATATATATATATATATATATATATATATATAAAATAAAGAAGGAGGCCGCTTGGATTGAGGAATCGGAGAGCCGAGTTCGAATTCAGTTGAATCCATTACATTCACTTACGTGCTAATACTCTTGGGAAAGATATTAAGCCTCTTCTTCTCCCTCCAGCTATGGGTAAATAGCAGGACAGACTGGATTCTATAGCCTTGGATGGCAACTAGTCTAGGTGAAGGACAACTCTGAATTCAAAACCTGCAGAGGGTCACTTGGGGACCTTGTGGCATGTAGTGCACCAGGTCTCTGTATTTGGCCCTTCAAAAAGTGTGGGGATGGTCCTGCATGAAACCTTTACCACTATAATCAAATCTTATGTGCTGTTGTTGGGCTGTCACTTTCCCAGGAACTGATCTGCTTGACCCTCATACGTCAAATTCGACGGGAGAGTCAAGTATACCAAAGAAATATGAAAACCATTGGTGGAACCAACAGACTGCTTGCCAAAACATCTAGATACAGTCTTGAATAAAGATGATAATACTGAAAAAAGAAAGAGAAAAAAGACTTGAAAGCAAATTTAGTACAGAAAAGTGCTCAAAGCTTAGATTGCCTAGACCAAGCAAAAAACTCTTACCAAAGTTAAATCTTATATATCATTATTCAAGTTTCATACACACGTGATCATCAGACAATTTGAACAGAAATGAAAGAAGAGTGGGACAGACTTTATATAACCCATGATCACTCTAAAGCATCACAGGAAAAGAAAAAAAATTCCTTAAAAGTAATTTCATTAAGAAACCCTTGGATGTCCACACCTATACAAGAGAAAAAGAAAATGGGCAAAGAACCCCCACCCCCACCAAGTGGGCTAAACTACTTACTGTTGTACTACAGGGTTGGACTCTGTAGAAAAAAAAGGAGGCACGGTGGAGTAATGGATATCGGCTTGGATTGTGGAATTGCAGAGCCGAGTTCAAATCCAGGTTGAATCCATTACATTTCACTTACGTGCTAATACCCTTGGGAAAGGTGTGAATCCTCTTCTTCTCCCTCCAGCTATGGGTTAAATATCAGGACAGACTGGGTTCTATAGCCTTGGATGGCAACTGGTCTAGGAGAAGGACAACTCTGAATTCAAAACCTGAGGGGGTGTTGTTTGGGGACCTTGTGGCACGCAGTGCTCCAGGTCTCTGTATTTGGCCCTTCAAAAAGTAATGGTCCTGCACCAAACCTTCACCACTATAATCAAATCTCATGTGCCGGTGTCGGGCTGTCAGTTTCCTGGAAACTGATTTGCTTGACCCTCATACCTCGAACCTGACGGGAGAATCGATTTTTTTTTATATATATATATAGAGGTAATGTGTAAATTGTCGCCATTTTATATTTTTAATTTTGTGCATGCACGATGAGCAATTCACTCTGGCAGAAATTTGGAGACGGCATGTTGTACTGCTTGGCATTCCCACTGGAAGCTCCAATATGAACATTTCAGAGTATTTGGGTGTCACTCTGAGGACAGTGCAGATTTGGAAAAAAGTTGGGTGAGTCTAATGGTGATTATGAAGATATGGCATCTCAGAAATTTCACTCTGATCGTTCTGATAAGAAAGAACTCCCGAATTTGTTGGTGAGATCCAGGCCATTATTAACAATGATCCCTTCATGTCAATCAGGACCATAGCCAGGGACACAGGAGTGTCTGTGTTTCTTATCAGGGAGGTAGCTGATGAATGTTACAGTTTTTTGTGTATATGTTATATAACTAGTGAGCCAGTCAAAATGACTTAACTCCCTTTATAGTCTACCAATAGAAGGTTAACCAATCAGAAGCCGCAGAACATTGTATCCGTCATGTATAAAGGCGGCCATTTTTGTTTACCCTACCCAAATGACCAGTGCCAACTTGTCAGGCAAAGATGACAGAAGGAAGTACTACGCTCTGCTAATTTGCTGCGATATCCACTGCTAACCTGAACTACGCTTTCCTAAAGTCTCCGAAATATTCACTGCTAACCTCTGGGTTCTATACTAGAAGACAACTGTCAAAATGTCTAACAATGAAGACATAATGGTATTTCTTATAAAGGAGAGAAAGGGCCAATTTTTATCACAAATCATGAAGGACAAGCGACTATGCTACAAAACCTTTGAACTAACTCAAGCATCCGCTTCAAATGAACACTTTGTTTTTTTTAGACAAGAAAAATTTCTCCCAGGATAAGATGGTGAACACACAAAACAACCATTACTGTTTTCCCCAAAAATCTACCGAGAGTGATGAAAATCAAATATCCAGTCAACATCATGGTGTTTCGAGTGATCTCTAGTGATGGCAACATTATGCCTCCATTCATCTTCCCACAGGGCCTCAGACTCAACACGGAGACCTACATCAAGTGCCTTGAGGATGATTGCTGGAAGGCCCTGGCAAGAGGACACTGCACTATGCCACACAAGCAGGAGAACCCAGTCATGGCTGTCAGACAATTTTTGTGACCACATCACTGATTATATCTAGCTACCTAACTCCCCAGACTTCAACCTCCTTGATTATTATGTGTGGAGCACAGTTGAGGTAGAGACCAACAAAACTCCTTGTAACACAAAAGATGAACTGAAGGCAAGGATTATTGCAGCATTAACCAACTTAAACAAGGATACCATCCAGAACAGATGCAGGAGATTTTGCAGTTGTCTGGAAGCCATGGTTGAAACCAATGTTGATTTTATCGAATAAATTTACTCTTTCTTTCTTATTTTATTGAATAAATTTTACTCTTTCTTTTCTTCTTTTATTACTATATTTCATGCATTTTATGCTTGTTTTAATATATTTCATGTCTTTAATTCATTTAATTTTTTTTAACATTTCATAATGGTGGAGTAATGGATAGTGGCTTGGATTGTCAAATCAGAGAGCCGAGTTCAAATTACAGTCGAATCTATTACATACATTTATGTGCTAATACCCTTGTAAAAGGTATGAATCCTTTTCTTCTCCCCCACTACAGCTATGGGTAAATAGCAGCTCAGACCAGGTTCTATAGCCTTGGATGGCAACTGGTCTACCACAGAAAGAAATGGCAACCTACTTTGGGAAAAAAATCAGCCTAGTCAGTCATGTATCGAAAGATACATTATCGCCTAAGCATGTATCATGCATGGCACATAACTGACTGAATGCATTTTTATGCATTACCTATATTTTATTATATTTTAGAAGGTGATTATCTCCCTTTGGTGACTGCTTAATAATATCACTCCATACAGTGACAAGAGAAGCAGTCAAATTCAGTTTGTTTTCAGCAGCTGAACAATAAGTTTGCTTTCTTTAGCCCAGCTATCCTCCCCATGCCCTGGTTCCCCAAAAACTAAATCTGCCCTGCCTGCAGCTTATGGTTCCATTTCCCTTTGGGAATATATCTTTCCCAGATAGAGAATGAAACTCGCAGTTCACAATTTGGGAAAACCCAAGACTCGTTGTTTCCAATTCATGAAATATGTCCTTGACTGGGACATAGATGAATCCATCCTGTTTCAATCTGGAGTTCTAAACATGGCTTCTCCAGACACAAGAGTATCTCCATATTATATTTAAGACACTTTCTTTTGTTTTTCCTTACACTCTGCTTTGCTGTGTAGATATATGTGATATATTATTCTCTGCATATATATGTAGATATAGTTTTTGCATACTGTAGTGATATAAAAGTCTCTCTGAGAACAAAATATGTTTATAATTCTTTTTCGATTCAGCCATTTCACTCAGTCTTAGAACTGTGGTGCTATTATATCACAGATATAATAATGCTCATAATGGAGGAAATACAAATAGGAATATAAATCTTTCTACAATAGCTCCGTCCCATTTCAATATTTAACACAGCTTTCCTACATTTCTTATGTTTTACTAAATCTACTAATCATATTACAGTTACTATATTTTAGTTGATTTAGTACATGTAAACAGTGTATAAATTTAAAGCAGATTTAAAATTAATGCAGTATGAGTTAGAAAAATAATTTGAAGTCAACGAAAGAATGAAAACGTGGTTTGAAATATGATTTAAATCAGAATTTCTTCATTTTAAAATCTTCTAAAATTTATGGCTTGTAAACAAAGTAATAGAAAATAGAAAAAATAGAAGAAATTACTTTTGTGAACTAATTGCAAGTTAATCGGTTTTAATTCATCATTGGAAGATGGAAAATGCTAAACCAACAAACGAGTAAAGAAAAGACAATTTTGTTTGTCTGAAAAATAAATGGCACACAAAAATAATTCAAACAAAAAAAAAACGTAAAAGGTAAGGAGAAAATACGATGCTTCAAATAATTGGATTAACGAACTGCTTTATTTTTCCCTTTTTGTTTTTTTTTTGTTTAAATTGCAAACATAAAAAATGGATGAAAAAAAATACAAATTGGCTTAAACAAATTTGAACTTCCTACTTTATATAAATCTTCTTAGATGGCAAGTTCCACTGACAAATTATGAGCCATTTTTAATTAATATTTATCACCAAGGGAAACTGCTGAGGTCAATCTCAGCAGAAAGTTAGAAATCATTTCTGAGTATTCTCTCAGTTCAAACATTGCTTTCTGCCAAACAATGGCTCATTTTCAATCTGTAAATCACAAATATTTATATAGATAGGCTCATGTATATATATATATACATATATATATATATATATGTCTGTGTGTGTGTGTATATGTGTATATATATATATATATATATATATATATATATATATATACAATAATAATAGTAATAATAATATATATATATATATATATA